AAAAAAAAAAGAAGAAGAAGAAGATAGCAGGAAGGGAAGAATGAAGGGGGGGGAAATCAGAGGGGGAGACGAACCGTGAGAGACTGTGGACTCTGAAAGGCAAACTGGGGGTTCTGGAGGGGAGGGGAGTGAGAGGATGGGTTGGCCTGGTGATGGGTATTGAAGAGGGCACGTTCTGCATGGAACACTAGGTGTTGTATGCAAACAATGAATCATGGAACACTACATCAAAAACTAATGATGTATGGTGATTAACATAACATAATAAAAATAAACTAAAAAAAAAAAAATACCCCAACTCCTGCTAACTTCACCAATTAAAAAAGATTAAGTACCTGATAACATGGCACTGAAAAGTATTCAAAGTCATCAGTCCAAAAAAATGACAGAGAAGTAGAAAAAAACAAAAATGCACACTCTGACTACCAAAGAAATGGGTGATAAAAAGATGGATTTTGTGTTGGTTTTCTTGATACCCTAGAATTGTGGTTCGTGATCTGTTGTGTTCAATCCCAAACGTGGGACCCTTGTTAAAACAGCCTGGTAGGTGCCCCCCAGGGTTTGTCATTCAGTAAATCCTGGAGGTAGCCCAAGAATTTTATTTCTAACAATAGGTGCCAGATAATGTTGATGCTGCCAGTCTGGGGATCACATTTTGAGAACCACTGCCCTAGGATAAAGATGATAAATATATACCAGGACCCACACACTCAGAATCCTTCAGAGCACACAGCTCCAGGCAGTCACTACCAGTATTATCAAAGTTGGTAAATAAGGCACAACCTCGTTCCTATCTCTGCCCAGGAAACTCTGGGTTTTACTGCATAAAGACATCATGAAAATTTGTTTCGGAAATCAATATTTAAGACTACAACTGGCTGACAAATGTCAGAATAATCTGAAAACATAATGAGAATTTATTTAAGTTTTCAATGTAGGATACTTAAAATAGTGTTTCCATTTCTGCTTCCATGTGGATTTACAAACAGAAGTTGTGCCTCTTCTTAAATACCTTACTAAATATTCGTGGATTATCAAGTTTGATTAGTCTCTTTTCACAAACTTTACAAACCTGCTGATGGCTTAACACTTATTATTTCAACTCCTTCTGGCAAATTCAACTCTTGGCTATAAACCATTTCTGAAGTCAGAGTCAACTTGCTGGTACTCTGGAGATTTGCTCTGCAAGCCTGATACTTCTGTGAAAAAGGAGATACGATCTTCTCTGGAGAAGAAGAATAATGTTCTTCCGGCTGCCAAACTGCTTCAGATATTTTTGTATCTACTTTTTCATCTATAAAACATAAGAAAAGAACCAAAAACCAGGGGGGGGAGCCCTGTAAGTATTAAAACTGCTATATTTTTTTTTTTTTTAAAGATTTTATTTATTTATTCATGAGAGACAGAGAGAGAGACAGAGGCAGAGGGAGAAGCAGGCTCCCCGCGGAGCAGGGA